TGATAACATGGGGTAATATGGGATTAACATGGATAACATGGGGTAACATGGGATTAACATGAGATTAACATGGATAACATGGGATAACATGGGATAACATGGGATCTCCCCCCCCAGGGTGTGGAGTTCTTCGATGAGAAGCTCAACTCGCTCTGCATGGCCTGGCTGGTCGACCACGGTGAGGGACTGCTCCAAACTGGTCCATACTGGTCCATACTGTGTCCATAATGGTTTATACTGGTCCATAATGGTTTATACTGGTCCATACTGCTCCAAACTGGTCCATACTGGTCCATACTGGTCTATACTGGTTTATACTGGTCCATACTGGTCCATACTGGTCCATACTGGTCCATACTGGTCCATACTGGTTTGTACTGGTTTATACTTGTTTTTTGTGCTATAACGAGTTGATACCGGTCCATACTGGTTTATACTGGTCTATACTGGTTTACACTGGTTTACACTGGTCTATACTGGTCTCCCTTCATACTGGTCCATACTGGTCCATACTGGTTTACACTGGTCCATACTGGTCTATACTGGTCTCCCCTCCATACTGGTTTATACTGGCCCATCCTGGTTTATACTGGTCCATACTGGTCTATACTGGTTTACACTGGTTTACACTGGCCTATACTGGTCCATACTGGTCTATACTGGTCTATACTGGTCTATACTGGTTTACACTGGTTTATACTGGTCCATACTGGTCTATACTGGTTTATACTGGTTTATACTGGTCCATACTGGTCCATACTGGTCTATACTGGTTTACACTGGTTTACACTGGTCTATACTGGTCCATACTGGTCCATACTGGTCTATACTGGTTTACACTGGTTTATACTGGTTTCTCCCCCCTCCCAGTGTACGCCATCCGGGAGGCAGCCACCAGTAACCTGCGGAAGCTGGTGGAGCGCTTCGGGCCGGGCTGGGCGCAGGGAACCATCGTGCCCAAGGTGCTGGCCATGGCCGGGGACCCCAACTACCTGCACCGCATGACCACGCTCTTCTGCATCAACGTAGGTGCTGAGCACCCATGGGTGCTAGGGGACACACACACACCCCCTCTATGGGATCGTTGTAACACCCTGTGGGTGCTGGGAGATGTGGGTGGGTGCTGAGGGACCCAGCTATGGGTGCTGGGAGACATCTGGGGGTGCTGAGGGACCCAGCTATGGGTGCTGGGAGACATCTGGGGGTGCTGGGAGATGTGGGTGGGTGCTGAGGGACCCAGCTATGGGTGCTGGGAGACATCTGGGGGTGCTGGGAGACATCTGTGGGTGCTGGGAGACATCTGGGGGTGCTGAGGGACCCATCTGTGGGTGCTGGGAGACATCTGGGGGTGCTGAGGGACCCATCTATGGGTGCTGGGAGACATCTGGGGGTGCTGAGGGACCCATCTATGGGTGCTGGGAGACATCTGTGGGTGCTGGGAGACATCTGGGGGTGCTGGGAGACATCTGGGGGTGCTGGGAGACATCTGGGGGTGCTGAGGGACCCATCTGTGGGTGCTGGGAGACATCTGTGGGTGCTGGGAGACATCTGGGGGTGCTGGGAGACATCTGGGGGTGCTGGGAGACATCTGGGGGTGATGAGGCACCCATCTATGGGTGCTGGGAGCCATCCCTATGGGTGCTGAGACACCCCTATGGGACCCCAGCATCCCCCTATGGGACCCCTGCATCCCCCTATGGGACCTCAGCATCCGCCTATAGGACCCCTTCATCCCCCTATGGGTGCTGAGGCACCCCTATGGGTCCCCAGCATCCCCCTATGGGACCCCAGCATCCCCCTATGGGACCCCTGCATCCCCCCTATGGGGACCCCTGCATCCCCCTATGGGTCCCCAGCATCCCCCTATGGGACCCCAGCATCCCCCTATGGGACCCCTGCATCCCCCTATGGGACCCCTGCATCCCCCTATGGGACCCCTTCATCCCCCTATGGGACCCCTGCATCCCCCTATGGGACCTCAGTATCCCCCTATGGGTCCCCAGCATCCCCCTATGGGACCACTGCATCCCCCTATGGGACCCCTGCATCCCCCTATGGGTCCCCAGCATCCCCCTATGGGACCCCTTCATCCCCCTATGGGACCCCTGCATCCCCCTATGGGACCTCAGTATCCCCCTATGGGGACCCCTGCATCCCCCTATGGGACCCCAGCATCCCCCTATGGGACCCCAGCATCCCCCTATGGGACCCCTTCATCCCCCTATGGGTGCTGAGCCACCCATATGGGACCCCAGCATCCCCCTATGGGACCCCTTCATCCCCCTATGGGACCCCTTCATCCCCCTATGGGTGCTGAGCCACCCATATGGGACCCCTGCATCCCCCTATGGGACCCCTGCATCCCCCTATGGGACCCCTTCATCCCCCTATGGGTGCTGACCCCCCCCCCCCACCCATGGGTGCTGTCTCCCATAGGGAGCTGTCCACCCCCATGGGTGCTGAACCCCTCTCTCCTCCCTCCCTCCCCCATTGAGACCCCCTTTCACCCCATAGACCCCCATTATCCACCCCCACCCATGGGTGTTCACCCCCCCCCACCCATGGGTGCTGACCCCATAGGGAGCTGTCCACCCCCATGGGTGCTGAACCCCTCTCTCCTCCTCCCTCCCCTCGCTTTTCACCCCATAGACCCCCATTATCCACCCCCACCCATGGGTGCTGACCCCCCCTAAGGGTGCTCACCCCCCCCCACCCATGGGTGCTGACCCCATAGGGAGCTGTCCACCCCCATGGGTGCTGAACCCCTCTCTCCTCCTCCCTCCCCCCGCCTTTTCACCCCATAGACCCCCATTATCCACCCCCACCCATGGGTGCTGACCCCCCCTATGGGTGCTGACCCCCCCCACCCATGGGTGCTGACCCCATAGGGAGCTGTCCACCCCCATGGGTGCTGAACCCCTCTCTCCTCCTCCCTCCCCTCGCTTTTCACCCCATAGACCCCCATTATCCACCCCCACCCATGGGTGCTGACCCCCCCCCACCCATGGGTGCTGACCCCATAGGGAGCTGTCCACCCCCATGGGTGCTGAACCCCTCTCTCCTCCTCCCTCCCCCCGCTTTTCACCCCATAGACCCCCATTATCCACCCCCACCCATGGGTGCTGACCCCCCCTATGGGTGCTCACCCCCCCCCACCCATGGGTGCTGACCCCATAGGGAGCTGTCCACCCCCATGGGTGCTGAACCCCTCTCTCCTCCCTCCCTCCCCCCGCTTTTCACCCCATAGACCCCCATTATCCACCCCCACCCATGGGTGCTGACCCCCCCTATGGGTGCTCACCCCCCCCCCACCCATGGGTGCTGACCCCATAGGGAGCTGTCCACCCCCATGGGTGCTGAACCCCTCTCTCCTCCTCCCTCCCCCCGCTTTTCACCCCATAGACCCCCATTATCAGACCCCACCCCTTGGGTGCTGACCCCCTATGGGTGCTCACCCCCCCCCACCCATGGGTGCTGACCCCATAGGGAGCTGTCCACCCCCATGGGTGCTGAACCCCTCTCTCCTCCTCCCTCCCCTCGCTTTTCACCCCATAGACCCCCATTATCCACCCCCACCCATGGGTGCTGACCCCCCCTATGGGTGCTGACCCCCCCCACCCATGGGTGCTGTCTCCCATAGGTGCTCTCTGAGGTGTGTGGGCCCGAGCTGACGGCGCAGCAGCTGCTGCCCACGGTGCTGCGCATGGCGGGGGACGCCGTGGCCAACGTCCGCTTCAACGTGGCCAAGAGTCTGCAGCGCCTGGGGCCCGTCCTGGACGCGGGGTAAGGCGCTATGGGGCGCCCCATAGCACCCATAGATCCTATAGAGCACCCCATAGATCCTATAGAGCACCCTATAGCACCCATACATAGCACCCATCCATAGCACCCATCACCATCCGCTTCAACGTGGCCAAGAGCCTGCAGCGCCTGGGGCCCGTCCTCGACGCGGGGTAAGGCGCTATGGGGCGCCCCATAGCACCCATAGATCCTATGACACCTATAGAGCACCCTAGAGCACCCATAGATCCTATAGAGCACCCATCCATAGCACCCATCAAGGTGCACTTGAACGGGGCCAAGAGCCTGCAGCGCCTGGGGCCCGTCCTCGACGCGGGGTAAGGGCTATGGGGTGCCCCATAGCACCCATAGATCCCATAGAGCACCCATAGATCCTATAGGGCCCCTAGAGCACCCATACATAGCACCCATCAAGGTGCACTTGAACGGGGCCAAGAGCCTGCAGCGCCTGGGGCCCGTCCTGGACGCGGGGTGAGGCGCTATGGGGCACCCCATAGCACCCATAGATCCTATGACACCTATAGAGCACCCTATAGCACCCATAGATCCTATAGAGCACCCATACATAGCACCCATCAAGGTGCACTTGAACGGGGCCAAGAGCCTGCAGCGCCTGGGGCCCGTCCTGGATGCGGGGTAAGGCGCTATGGGCGCCCATAGCACCCATAGATCCTATAGAGCACCCATCCATAGCACCCATCACCATCCAATTCAACGTGGCCAAGAGCCTGCAGCGCCTGGGGCCCGTCCTGGACGCGGGGTAAGGGCTATGGGGTGCCCCATAGCACCCATAGATCCCATAGAGCACCCATAGATCCTATAGGGCCCCTAGAGCACCCATACATAGCACCCATCAAGGTGCACCTGAAAGTGGCCAAGAGCCTGCAGCACCTGGGGCTCGTCCTCGATGCGGGGTAAGGCGCTATGGGGCGCCCCATAGCACCCATAGATCCCATAGAGCACCCATAGATCCTATAGGGCCCCTAGAGCACCCATCCATAGCACCCATCACCATCCGCTTCAACGTGGCCAAGAGCCTGCAGCGCCTGGGGCCCGTCCTCGACGCGGGGTAAGGTGCTATGGGGCGCCCCATAGCACCCATAGATCCTATGGCGCCTATAGAGCACCCTATAGCACCCATAGATCCTATAGAGCACCCATACATAGCACCCATCAAGGTGCACTTGAACGGGGCCAAGAGCCTGCAGCGCCTGGGGCCCGTCCTGGACGCGGGGTAAGGCGCTATGGGGCGCCCCATAGCACCCATAGATCCTATAGAGCACCCATAGATCCTATAGGGCCTATAGAGCACCCTATAGCACCCATACATAGCACCCATCACCATCCGCTTCAACGTGGCCAAGAGCCTGCAGCGCCTGGGGCCCGTCCTCGACACGGGGTAAGGGCTATGGGGTGCCCCATAGCACCCATAGATCCCATAGAGCACCCATAGATCCTATAGGGCCCCTAGAGCACCCATACATAGCACCCATCAAGGTGCACTTGAACGGGGCCAAGAGCCTGCAGCGCCTGGGGCCCGTCCTGGACGCGGGGTGAGGCGCTATGGGGCACCCCATAGCACCCATAGATCCCATAGAGCACCCATAGATCCTATAGAGCACCCTATAGCACCCATACATAGCACCCATCCATAGCACCCATCACCATCCGCTTCAACGTGGCCAAGAGCCTGCAGCGCCTGGGGCCCGTCCTCGACGCGGGGTAAGGCGCTATGGGGGCGCCCCATAGCACCCATAGATCCCATAGAGCACCCATAGATCCTATAGGGCCCCTAGAGCACCCATCCATAGCACCCATCACCATCCGCTTCAACGTGGCCAAGAGCCTGCAGCGCCTGGGGCCCGTCCTGGATGCGGGGTAAGGCGCTATGGGGCGCCCCATAGCACCCATAGATCCTATGGCGCCTATAGAGCACCCTATAGCACCCATAGATCCTATAGAGCACCCATATATAGCACCCATCACCATCCGCTTCAACGTGGCCAAGAGCCTGCAGCGCCTGGGGCCCGTCCTGGACCCGGGGTAAGGCGCTATGGGGCGCCCCATAGCACCCATAGATCCTATAGGGCCCATAGAGCACCCTATAGCACCCATACATAGCACCCATCACCATCCACTTCAACGTGGCCAAGAGCCTGCAGCGCCTGGGGCCCGTCCTGGATGCAGCGTAAGGCGCTATGGGGCGCCCCATAGCACCCATAGATCCTATAGGGCCCATAGAGCACCCTATAGCACCCATAGCACCCACATACAGCAACCATAGAACACACACAGCACCCATCAAGGTGCGGTTCAAGGTGTACACCTATAGCACCCATCAGCACCCATCGACACCCATCCTATGGACACCTATAGCACCCGTCTGCAGCCATTGACACCCATCCTATGGACACCTATAGCACCCATAGCACCCATCGACACCCATCCTATGGACACCTATAGCACCCATCTGCAGCCATTGACACCCATCCTATGGACACCTATAGCACCCATCTGCAGCCATTGACACCCATCCTATGGACACCTATAGCACCCATCTGCAGCCATTGACACCCATCCTATGGACACCTATAGCACCCATCAGCACCCATCGACACCCATCCTATGGACACCTATAGCACCCATCTGCAGCCATTGACACCCATCCTATGGACATCTATAGCACCCATCGACACCCATCCTATGGACACCAATGGCACCCATAGAACCCATTGACACCCATAGACACCCACTGACACCCATCGCACCCATGGACACCCATCCCATGGACACTTATGGAACCCATTGACACCCATAGACACCCATCCTATGGGCACCCATTGACACCCATCGCGCCCATTGACACCCATAGAACCCATTGACACCCATAGACACCCATCCTATGGGCACCCATTGACACCCATCGCGCCCATTGACACACATAGAACCCATTGACACCCATAGACACCCATCCTATGGGCACCCATTGACAGCCATCGCGCCCATTGACACCCATAGAACCCATTGACACCCATAGACACCCATCCTATGGGCACCCATTGACACCCATCGCGCCCATTGACACCCATAGAACCCATTGACACCCATAGACACCCATCCTATGGGCACCCATTGACAGCCATCACGCCCATTGACACCCATAGAACCCATTGACACCCATAGACACCCACCCTATGGGCACCCATTGACACCCATAGCACCCACTGACACCCATAGAACCCATAGACACACATCCTATGGTCACCCATTGACACCCATAGAACCCACTGACACCCATAGAACCCATTGACCCCCATAGCACTCATTGACACCCACAGCACCCATTGACACCCATTGACACCCACAGCACCCATTGACACCCATAGCACCCATTGACACCCACAGCACCCACTGACCCCCATTGACACCCATTGACACCCACAGCACCCATTGACCCCCATAGCACCCATTGACACCCACAGCACCCATTGACACCCATTGACACCCATCGCACCCATTGACCCCCATAGCACCCATTGACCCCCATAGCACCCATTGATACCCATAGACACCCATTGACAGCTGTAGCACCCATTGACACCCATTGACCCCCACAGCACCCATTGACACCCATTGACCCCCATAGCACCCATTGACACCCACAGCACCCATTGACACCCATTGACCCCCATAGCACCCATTGACACCCACAGCACCCATTGACACCCATTGACACCCATAGCACCCATTGACACCCATTGACCCCCATAGCACCCATTGACACCCACAGCACCCATTGACCCCCATAGCACCCATTGACACCCATTGACCCCCATAGCACCCATTGACACCCACAGCACCCACTGACACCCACTGACACCCATTGACACCCACAGCACCCATTGACACCCATTGACCCCCATAGCACCCATTGACACCCATTGACCCCCATAGCACCCATTGACACCCACAGCACCCATTGACACCCATTGACCCCCATAGCACCCATTGACACCCATCACACCCATTGACCCCCTGGGCACCCATTGACACCCATAGCACCCATTGACACCCATTGACACCCACAGCACCCATTGACCCCCATAGCACCCATTGACACCCATGGGTGCCCCCCTGCTCCCATAGGACCCTGCAGGCCGAGGTGAAGCCGGTGCTGGAGAAGCTCACCCAGGACCAGGACGTGGACGTCAAGTACTTCGCCCAGGAGGCCCTGACGGGTCAGGGGCGCTATGGGGCGCTATGGGGCGCTATGGGGCCTATGGGGGGTATGGGGGCTATGGGGCGCTATGGGGCCTATGGGGGGTATGGGGGGTATGGGGGCTATGGGGCGCTATGGGGCCTATGGGGGGTATAGGGGATATGGGGGGTGTGGGGGGTATGGGGCGCTATGGGGCCTATGGGGGGTGTAGGGGATATGGGGGGTGTGGGGGCTATGGGGCGCTATGGGGCCTATGGGGGGTGTAGGGGATATGGGGGGTGTGGGGGGTATGGGGCGCTATGGGGCATATGGGGGGTATAGGGGGTATGGGGCGCTATGGGGCCTATGGGGGGTATAGGGGGTATGGGGCATATGGGGGGTATGGGGGCTATGGGGCGCTATGGGGCCTATGGGAAGTATAGGGGGTATGGGGGGTATGGGGCGCTATGGGGCCTATGGGGGGTATAGGGGATATGGGGGGTGTGGGGGGTATGGGGGCTATGGGGTGTATGGGGGGTGTGGGGGGTATAGGGGATATGGGGGGGGTGGGGGGGTATGGGTGGTATAGGGGGTATGGGGTGCTATGGGTCATATAGGGGATATGGGGGGTATGGGGAGATATGGGGGGTGTAGGGGGTATAGGGGGTGTGGGGCGTATGGGGGGTATAGGGGGTGTGGGGGGCATGGGAGATATGGGGGGTATGGGGAGTATAGGGGGATATGGGGGGTGTAGGGGGTATGGGGTGCTATGGGGCATATAGGGGGTATAGGGGGGATATGGGGGGTATAGGGGATATGGGGGTATAGGGGGTGTGGGGGGTATGGGGACTGTATGGGGTATGTGGGGGGTAAAGGAGATATAGGGATCTATAGGGGATATAGGGCCTATGGGGTCTATGGGGCCAATAAGGGCTATGGGGGATATAGGGGGTATAGGGGTCTATAGGGGATATGGGGCCTATAGGGGTCTATGGGGGCTGTAAGGGCTATGGGGCTATGGGGATAATGGGATCCATGGGGAGCAAGGGGGGGCTATAGGGGATGTAGAGGCTATGGGGGCAGTGGGGTCAATGGGGGCAGTGGGGGGCTATGGGGTTCTGTGGGGTAATGGGGACTATGGGGGGCTATGGGGGCAGTGGGGGGTATAGGGCCCTATAGGGCGCTATGGGGTCAATGGGGGGCTATAGGGCTCTATAGGGCGCTATGGGGTCAATGGGCGGCTATAGGGCTCTATAGGGTGCTATGGGGTCAATGGGGGGCTATAGGGCTCTATAGGGCGCTATGGGGTCAATGGGGGGCTATAGGGCTCTATAGGGGGCTATGGGGTCAATGGGGCGCTATAGGGCTCTATAGGGCGCTATGGGGTCAATGGGCGGCTATAGGGCTCTATAGGGGGCTATGGGGTCAATGGGGGGCTATAGGGCTCTATAGGGCGCTATGGGGTCAATGGGGGGCTATAGGGCTCTATAGGGCGCTATGGGGTCAATGGGGGGCTATAGGGCTCTATAGGGCGCTATGGGGTCAATGGGGGTCTATAGGGGGTCACATAAGGACACGGGGGGGGGGGTCACGTGGTCACTGACGGTGACCTCTGACCCGCCTCCTCTTCTCTCCCCTCCCCCCCTTCCAGTGCTGGCGCTCGCCTGACCACGCCCCCTTTCCCCTCCCCCCCCCTTTTCCCTTCCCCTCCCCCCCCCCCCGCATGTGCCATTGGCCCCGCCCCCCTCGTGACGTCACCCATTCATTAATTAAACGAGGTTCTGTCAATGAAGAGTCGTCATTGGGGGGAGCTAAAAGGGAAGGGGCGGGGCTAAATCCGGAGGGGAGGGGCTAACGGGAATGGGGGCGGGGCTAAAAGAGTACGGGGCGGGGCTAAGTCCGAAGGGGCGTGACCAACGGAAATAGGGACGGAGCTAAAATGAAAGGGGCGGGGCTAAATTTGAAGGGGGCGTGGCTAAAATGGGGAGGGGCGTGGCTAATGGGAATGGGGGCGGGGCTAACAGAAACGGGGGTGGGGCTAAAATGAGGGGGCGGGGCTAAATCAGAAAGGGGCGTGGTTAACGGGAATGGGGGCGGAGCTAAAAGGAAGGGGTGGGGCTAAAGTGGAGGGGGCGGGGTTAAATGGAGAGGGGCGGGGCTAATTCCGGAGGGGGCGTGGCTAATGAGAATGGGGGCGGGGCTAAAAAGGAAGGGGCGGGGCTAAAGTGGAGGGGCGGGGCTAAAAGGAGGGGGCGGAGCTAAAGGAAGGGGGCGGGGCTAAAAGGGGTGGGGGTGGAGGTAAGGGAACCAATAGGAGCGCAGAAGTCCCGCCCCCTTCCCTCTTCCGCTGCTGTGATTGGCCCGAGCCGCCCCCGCCTCCCGCGCTCTGATCACGTGGTTGCCCAGAGGGCGCCTGGCCCTTTAAATCCCCTTTCCCGCCATCACCGCCGGCCCCGCCCCCTGCCGGAAACGCGGGAAAGTGACGTCATCAGCGGCGCGCCAACGCCCCCCCCTTCCTCCGCGCATGCGCAGTGGCGCCTCACCGCATAGCCCCCTATAGACCCCCCATAGCCCCCTATGGACCCTGCGCTGCCCCATAGCGGCCCCATAGCGGCCCCCTATGGCCCTGCCGCCGCCCCATAGCGGCCCCCATTGCCCCCTATAGCCCCTTCCATCGCCCTATAGCCTTTCCCCTTATAGCCACGCCTCTTCCCCCCATAGCCACGCCTCTTCCCCCCATAGCCCCGCCTCTTCCCCCCATAGCCCCTCCGCTTCCTCCTATAGACCCTCCCCTGCCCCATAGCGCCGCTTCCACCGCCGGTAGCCCCCTTTCCCCCCCATAGGTCCCATTTACCCCCCTATAGAACCCATTTACGCCCCATAGATCCCATTTACCCCCCCTAGATCCCATTTGCCCCCCCATAGAACCCTTTTACGCCCTATAGAACCCATTTACCCCCCCATAGAACCCATTTACGCCCTATAGATCCCATTTACCCCCCCATAGAACCCATTTACGCCCTATAGATCCCATTTCCCCCCCATAGAACCCATTTACCCCCTATAGATCCCATTTCCCCCCCATAGAACCCATTTCCCCCCCCATAGAACCCATTTACCCCCCATAGAACCCATTTCCCCCCATAGAACCCATTTACCCCCATCCCCATTACCCCCTATAGCCCCATAGCCCCCTATACCCCCATTACCCCCCATAGCCCCCTATACCCCTATTGCCCCCTATACCCCATTCCCCCCATTGCCCCCCATAGCTCCATTACCCCCTATACCCCCATTACCCCCCATTGCCGCCCCATAGCCGCCCCATTGCCGCCCCATTGCCGCCCCATAGCCTCCCCATAGCCGCCCCATTGCCGCCCCACAGCTGCCCCACAGCCGCCCCACAGCCGCCCCACAGCCGCCCCATAGCCGCCCCATAGCCGCACCATTGCCGCCCCATAGCCGCCCCATACCCGCCCCATTGCCACCCCATACCCGCCCCATACCCGGCCCATTGCCACCCCATCGCCGCCCCATCGCCGCCCCATCGCCACCCCATAGCCGCCCCATCGCCGCCCCATCGCCGCCCCATCGCCGCCCCATCGCCACCCCATAGCCGCCCCATAGCCGCCCCATAGCCGCCCCATTGCCGCCCCACAGCCGCCCCACAGCCGCCCCATAGCCGCCCCATAGCCGCCCCATTGCCACCCCACAGCCGCCCCATAGCTGCCCCATACCCGCCCCATTGCCGCCCCATAGCTGCCCCATAGCGATGTCGGACTCGGGGCAGAGCCCGGCCCCTGGGGGGCGGCGCCGTTGGACCCGGGACAAGGACCCAGAGGGCGGTGGGGACCGACGGGTAGGCGGGGCTAAGGGCGAGGGGGCGGGGCTAAGGGCGAGGGGGCGGGGCTTAGAGCAAGGGGGCGGGGCTTGGGGGGGGCAATGGGGGGCAGTGATTGGCTGGAGGGGGGGGGGGCAATGGGGTTGAAGGGGTGAGGGGTGGGGTTATTGGGGGGGGGCGTGGCCTCGCTGACCACGCCCCCCCCTTCGGTCACGTGGTAGGAGGCGGGGGAGGAGCCTGCGGGGCTGATGCAGAAGACCCCCATCATCCTGGCCAAGCCCCCGGGGGAGAGGGTGAGAGCCCCATAGAGCCCCATAGATACCCATAGAGCCCCATAGATACCCCTTAGATACCCATAGAGCCCCATAGAGCCCCATAGATACCCTATAGATACCCCATAGATACCCCATAGAGCCCCATAGATACCCCATAGATACCCCATAGAGCCCCATAGATACCCCATAGATACCCCATAGAGCCCCATAGATACCCATAGATACCCATAGAGCCCTGTAGATACCCATAGAGCCCCATAGATACCCCATAGAGCCCCATAGAGCCCCATAGATACCCCATAGAGCCCCATAGAGCCCCATAAATACCCCATAGATACCCCATAGATACCCCATAGAGCCTCATAGATACCCTATAGATACCCCATAGAGCCCCATAGGTACCCCATAGATACCCATAGATATTCTATAGATACCCTATATAGCCCCATAGATACCCCATAGAACCCCATAGATACCCATAGAGCCCCATAGATACCCCATAGATACCACATAGATACCCTATACATACCCCATAGAGCCCCATAGATATCCATAGACCCCCATAGGTACCCATAAACCCCTATAGGCCTCCCATAGCCCCCCTATAGCGCCCCATAGACCCCCCCATAGCCCCGCCCCCCCACTGACCCCCCCCTCCCCCCCTCAGCCGCAGCCGAAGGCGGGGCCCGGCCCGGCCCCTCCCCCCCCGGCCCCGCCCATTTTGCTGATGAAGGCGCGGGGCGGGGGAGGGGAGGAGCGCGGTGGGGGCGGGGCCAACGCCGGCGGGGGGGAGGGGCCAGCGCAGGCCCCGCCCCGCGAGCGCGACCCCGGGCCCCGCCCCACGCAGCCCGTCTACCAATTGCATGGCAGGGGGCTGGCCCCGCCCGGCAACCTGGACCGTGAGTGGTGCCTTATATGGGCATGGGGAGGGGCTTAAATTGCCTTATATGGGCATGGGGAGGGGCTTAAATTACCTTATATGGGGAGGGGCTTAACTTATATGGGCATGGGGAGGGGCTTAAATTACCTTATATGGGCATGGAGGCTTAAATTGCCTTATATGGGCATAAGGAGGGGCTTAAATTGCCTTATATGGGCAGGGGGTGGGGCTTAAATTGCCTTATATGGGCAGGGGGTGGGGCTTAAACTGCCTTATATGGGCATGGGGAGGGGCTTAAATTAATTTATATGGGCATGGGGAGAGGCTTAAATTACCTTATATGGGCATGGGGAGGGGCTTAAATTACCTTATATGGGCATGGGGAGGGGCTTAAATTGCCTTATATGGGCAGGGGGTGGGGCTAAAGGGGCCTCATATGGGCATGGGGAGGGGATAAAGGGGGCTTATATGGGAAGGGGAGGGGCTAAAGGGGCCTTATATGGGCAGGGGAGGGGCTAAAGGGGGTTTGTATGGGAAGGGGAGGGGCTAAAGGGGGCCTTATATGGGAAGGGGAGGGGCTAAAAAGACCTTATATGGGCAATGGGAGGGGCTAAAGGGGGGTTGTATGGGAAGGGGAGGGGCTAAAGGGGGCTTATCCTGGGCTACGGGGTGTCCATATATGGGATAGGGGGTAAGAGAAGGGGCGGGGCTAAGGGTTTCCATATATGGGGTGGGTAAATGGGAATGGGTGGGGCTATGGCGGTGTGGGAGGGGCTATGGGGTGTCCATATATGGGGTGGGGGCAAGAAAAGGGGTGGGGCAAAGGGTGTCCATATATGGAGTGGGTAAAGGAGAGTGGGAGTGGCTAAGACAGGGGTGGGGCTAAAGTGATGTCCATATATGGGATAAGGCTAAGGGACGGAGCTTGGGGGTGTCCATATATGGGATAAGGGGAAGGGGGCAGGGCTAAGCATGCCCATATATGGAGTAAGGCTAAGGGGCGGGGCTAGGGGGTGTCCTTATATGGGGGAAGGGGGCGGGGCTAAGCGTGCCCATATATGGAGTAAGGCTAAGTAGCGGGGCTAGGGGAGCATCCATATACGGGGGGAAGAGGGCGGGGCTAAGGGGGTGTGGAGCTCCATCTATGGAAGGGGGCGTGTCCAAGCTTGGCCCCGCCCCTCGCAGCCGTGGCCGGCCAATCCCGGCTGGCGGCGCCCGAGAAGATGAAGAGCAGCATCAAACTGGTGGACGAGCAGATGAACTGGTGCGACAGCGCCCTAGAGGTGTGGGGCGGGGCCTATGGGGGGGCGGGGCCTACGGGAAGGGGGCGGGGTTAAGGGAAAAGGGGCGGGGTTTGGGGTAGGGGGAAGGGAGAGGGGTTTAAAAAGGGGTGGGAAGGGGAGGGGCTTATGGGGAAGGGATGGGGCTTAAGGGAAAGGGGCGGGGCTTGGGAATGGGGGCGTGGCCTATAAGAAGGGGGCGGGGTTAAGGGAAAGGGGGCGGGGTTTGGGGTAGGGGGAAAGAAGAGGGGTTTAAAGAGAAGCAAGGGGCGGGGCTTAGGGGAAGGGGTGGGGCTTAATGGGAAGGGGCGGGGCTTGGGAATGGGGGCGTGGCCTATAAGAAGGGGGCGGGGTTAAGGGAAAGGGGGCGGGGTTTGGGGTGGGGGTAGGGGAAGGGAGAGGGGTTTAAAGGGGGGAAAAGGCAGGGCTTAAGGAAAGGGGCGGGGTTTAGGGTAGAGGGGGAGGAGCTTGGGAAGGGGGCGTGGTCTATGGGAAGGGGGCGGGGTTTGGGGTGGGGGCCGAGGGAAGGGAGAGGGGTTTTAAAGGGCGGGGCTTAGGGAAAGGGGTGGGGCTTAGGGTTGTGGGGGAGGAGCTTGGGAAAGGGGCGTGGCCTATGAGAAGGGGGCGGGGTAAAGGGAAAGAGGGCGGGGTTTGGGGTAGGGGAAAGCGAAAGGGGTTTAAGGGGGGGTGGGAAGGGGAGGGGCTTATGGGGAAGGGGTGGGGCTTAAGGGGAAGGGGCGGGGCTTGGGAATGAGGGCGTGGCTTAGGCCGCTTGGGGCCGTGGCTTCAGCCCCATGATGGGGATGGCTCAGGGCGGGGCTTGATGTAAATGGGCGGGGCTTAATGTAAATGGGCGGGGCTTAATGTGAATGGGCGTGGCTTGCTGTAAATGGGCGTGGCTTAAATGGGGCGTGGCTTCAGCCCCATGATGGGGGTGGCTCAGGGCGGGGCTTAATGTGAATGGGCGTGGCTTGATGTGAATGGGTGGGACTTAATGTGAATGGGCGTGGCTTGCTGTGAATGGGTGGGGCTTATTGTGAATGGGCGTGGCTTAAATGGGGCGTGGCTTCAGCCCCATGATGGGGCTGGCTCAGCCCCACAGGGGGGGAGAGGGGGGCGTGGTTTAGGGCCCGAGGGGGGCGTGTCTTAGTGCGGTGGCGCGCTGTGATTGGCCCAGTTCCTGCTGGAGCAGACGGACGTGCTGGTGGTGGGGGCGCTGGGGCTGCAGGGCACCGGGAAGTCCACGCTGCTCTCGCTGCTGGCGGCCAATCAGCCCGATGAGGACCCACGGTATGGGGGGAGCTATGGGGCGGGTATGGGGGGTGTCTGTGGGGCGCTATGGGGTGGCTATGGGGGGCTATGGAGCTCTATGGGGTGTCTATGGGGGGCTATGGAGCTCTATGTGGTGTCTATGGGGGGCTATGGAGCTCTATGGGGTGTCTATGGGGCGCTATGGAGCTCTATGGGGTGTCTATGGGGGGCTATGGAGCTCTATGAGGTGTCTATGGGGCGCTATGGAGCTATATGGGGTGGCTATGGGGGGCTATGGAGCTCTATGGGGTGTCTATGGGGGGCTATGGAGCTCTATGGGGTGTCTATGGGGTGTCTATGGGGGGCTGTGGGGTAGCTATGGGGTCTATGGGGTGTCTATGGGGGGCTATGGGGTAGCTATGGGGCGCTATGGAGCTCTATGGGGTGTCTATGGGGGGCTATGGGGTGTCTATAGGGGGCTATGGGGTAGCTATGGGGGGCTATGGGGTAGCTATGGGGGGGCTATGGAGCTCTATGGGGTGTCTATGGGGGGCTATGGGGTGTCTATGGGGAGCTATGGGGCGCTATGGAGCTCTATGGGGTGTCTATGGGGGGCTATGGGGTCTCTATGGGGAGCTATGGGGCGCTATGGAGCTCTATGGGGGGCTATGGGGTAGCTATGGGGGGCTATGTGGTGTCTATGGGAGGCTATGGGGTGTCTATGGGGGGCTATGGGGTAGCTATGGGGGGCTATGGGGTAGCTATGGGGGGCTATGGGGGGCTATGGAGCTCTATGGGGTGTCTATGGGGGGCTATGGGGTAGCTATGTGGGGCTATGGGGTGTCTGGGGCTCTATGAGTCCGGGCTGTGTCTATGGGGCTCTATGGGGCTGGGCTGTGTCTATGGGTCTGGGCTGTGTCTATGGGGCTCTATGGGGCTGGGCTGTGTCTATGGGGCTCTATGGGTCCAGGCTGTGTCTATGGGGCTCTATGGGTCTCTATGGGTCCCCCCAGGTCCTTCGTGTTCCGGCCCCAGGGCCCGGAGCTGCGGGAGCGGGGGGGGAGCCAGACCGGGGGCATCGACTTCTTCATCACCCAGGAGCGCGTGGTCTTCCTCGACACCCAGGTACCGCCAGCGGGCTCATTAAGGGTGTTAATTACCCCTAATGAGGTCATTAATAGCATTAATTACCCCTAAGGAGGTCATTAATAGCGCTAATGAGGTCATTAATAGCATTAATTGCTCCTAATGAGGTCATTAATAGCGCTAATGAGGTCATTAATAGCATTAATTACCCCTAATGAGGTCATTAATAGCGTTTACTACCTCTAATGAGGTCATTAATAGCGCTAATGAGCTCATTAATAGTATTAATTACCCCTAATGAGGTCATTAATAGCGTTTATTACCGCGAATGAGGTCATTAATAGCGCTAATGAGGTCATTAATAGCATTCATTACCCCTAATGAGGTCATTAATGGCGTTTATTACCGCTAATGAGGTCATTAACAGCATTAATTAACCCTAATGAGGGCATTAATAGCGCTAATGAGGTCATTAGTAGCATTAATTACCCCTAATGAGGTCATTAATAGCATTTCTTAGCGCTAATGAGGTCAGTAATAGCGGTAATGAGGTCGTTAGTAGCATTAATTACTCCAAATGAGGTCATTAATAGCGCTAATGAGGTCATTAGTAGCATTAATTACTCCAAATGAGGTCATTAATAGCGCTAATGAGGTCATTAATAGCATTAATTACCCTTAAGGAGGTCATTAATAGCATTAATTACCCCTAAGGAGGTCATTAAGAGCACTAAGGTCGTTAATAGCATTAATTACCCCTAATAAGGTTATTACTAGCGTTAAAGAGGTCATTAGTAACATTAATTACCCCTAATGAGGTTGTTAATAGCGCTAATGAGCTCATTAATAGCATTAATTACCCCTAATGAGGTCATTAATAGCGTTCATTACCGCTAATGACGTCATTAATAGCGCTAATGAGGTCACTAATAGCATTAATTAATGCCAATGGCCACATTAATAGCAGTAATTAACGCTAACGAGGTCATTAATAGCATTTATTAGCGCTAATGAGGCCATTAATAGAGCTAACCCCAATGGGCTCATTAATAGCGTTAATTAACCCCAATGGGCTCATTAGTAGCTGTAATTAGTGCAAATGAGGTCATTAATAGCGTTTATTAGTGCTAATGAGGTCATTAAGAGCGCTATTGAGGTCATTAATAGCGTTTGTTAGGGCTAATGAGGTCTTTAATGCCGTTAATGAGGTCATTAGTAGCGTAAATGAGCGCTAATGAGGCCATTAATAGCGTCAGTTAACACCAATGGGCTCATTAAAAGCAGTAATTAACCCCAATGGGCTCATTCATAGCGGTAATTAGCGCTAATGAGCTTATTAATAGCCCTAGTAATCCCTCATTACCCCAATGAGCTCATTAATAGCCCTAATAACCCCTCATTACCCTTGCTGAGCTCATTAATAGCCCTAATAATCCCTCAATAGCGCAAATTAAGATTAATATCCCTAATACCCCCTCATTGACACTAATTAAGCTCTTTAATAGCCCTACTAATCCCTCATTAACAGTAATGAGCTCATTAATAGCACTAATAACCCCTCATTAGCGCGAATTAAGCTCGTTAATAGACCTCATAATCTCTCATTAACGCTAATTATGCTCATTAATAGCCCTAATACCCTCTCCTTAACGCTAACTAAGCTCATTAATAGCCCTAATAACCCATCCTTAGCGCTGTTTAAGCTCGTTAACAGCCCTAATTAATGCTAATGAAGCTCATTAATAGCCCTCATTAGCGCTAATGAAGCTTCTTAATTCCAGCCCCTGCTCAGCCCGGCCCTCCTCGATCACCTCATTAATAACGACCGGAAGCTGCCCCCCGAGTACGGGCTGCCCCACACCTACGTCGAGATGCAGGTCTGCCATTAACGAGGCTCATTAGCCATTAATTAGCCATTAATTAGCGCTCATTAGCCCTAATTTTGGGGGGGGGAAGGGCTGCAAGAGGGCCGGGGGGAGTGTAATTAGAAGTAATTAATGAGGGGGAATAGGATAATGGGAAGTAATTAATGATGTGGTGATTAATTAATGGTTATTAGTCGTTAATAATAGCTATTAATTAGCAATTAATAGCTATTAATAATAGCGATTAATTAGTAATTAATTAGGGGTGGTTCTTTAGGGGTAATTAAGGGTAATAAGGGGCATATGGGGGTTGATTGGGAGGTCATTAATTGGCATTAATTGATTGGAGGGGATTAATTAGGGGCTAATAGGGGGGTCAATGGGTGTCAATGGGGGTCAATGGTGGTCAATGGGTGCCAATGGGTGCCAATGGGTGCCAATGGGAGCCAATGGGTGTCAATGGGAGCCAATGGGTGCCAATGGGTGCCAATGGGTGCCAATGGGTGTCAATGGGCGTCAATGGGTGTCAATGGGTGCCAATGGGTGTCAATGGGAGCCAATGGGTGTCAATGGGAGCCAATGGGTGCCAATGGGTGTCAATGGGAGCCAATGGGTGTCAATGGGAGCCAATGGGTGCCAATGGGTGTCAATGGGTGTCAATGGGAGCCAATGGGTGTCAATGGGAGCCAATGGGTGCCAATGGGTGTCAATGGGAGCCAATGGGTGCCAATGGGTGTCAATGGGTGCCAATGGGTGTCAATGGGTGTCAATGGGTGCCAATGGGTGTCAATGGGTGCCAATGGGTGTCAATGGGCGTCAATGGGTGTCAATGGGCGCCAATGGGAGTCAATGGGAGTCAATGGGCGTCAATGGGCGTCAATGGGTGCCAATGGGTGTCAATGGGTGCCAATGGGTGTCAATGGGTGCCAATGGGAGTCAATGGGTGTCAATGGGTGTCAATGGGTGCCAATGGGTGCCAATGGGTGTCAATGGGAGTCAATGGGAGTCAATGGGTGTCAATGGGAGCCAATGGGTGCCAACGGGTGTCAATGGGTGTCAATGGGTGCTATGGGGTGGGTGGGTGCTGACCCACGTCCCCCGCCCCACACGTGTGGGGCAGTCTCTGCAGATCGCCGCCTTCCTCTTCACCGTCTGCCACGTGGTGCTGCTCGTGCAGGATTGGTTCACGGACCTCGGCCTCTACCGGTGAGACCCATAGAGACCCATAGCGACCCATAGAGACCCATAGCGACCCATAGCGACCCATAGCGACCCATAGAGACACATAGAGACCCATAGGGACCCATAGAGACCCATAGAGACCCATAGAGACCCTTTGGGACCCATAGAGACACATAGAGACCCATAGAGACCCATAGAGAACCCATAGAGACCCATAGAGACCCATTGGGACCCATAGAGACACATAGAGACCCATAGAGACCCATAGAGAACCCATAGAGACCCATAGAGACCCATAGAGGCCCATAGAGACTCATAGAGACCCATAGCGACCCCATAGAGACCCCATAGCAACCCATAGAGACCCACAGAGACTCATGGCGACCCATAGAGACCCATAGAGACCCCATAGAGACCCCATAGAGACCCATAGAGACCCCATAGAGACCCATAGAGACCCATAGAGACCCCATAGAGACCCCATAGAGACCCATAGAGACCCATAGAGACCCCATAGGGACCCATAGAGACCCCATAGAGACCCATAGAGACCCATAGAGACCCCATAGAGACCCCATAGAGACCCATAGAGACCCATAGAGACCCCATAGGGACCCATAGAGACCCATAGAGACCCATAGAGACCCCATAGGGACCCATACACCCCTACAGACTCTTATAGACCTCATATCCCCCATAGCCCCCATTACCCCCATTACCCCATTACCCCCATTACCCCATTACCCCCATTACCCCATTACCCCCATTACCCCCATTACCCCCATTACCCCCATTGCCCCCATTACCCCCATTACCCCCATTACCCCCATTACCCCCATTACCCCATTACCCCCATTACCCCCATTGCCCCCATTACCCCCATTACCCCCATTACCCCATTACCCCCATTACCCCCATTGCCCCCATTACCCCCATTACCCCCATTACCCCATTACCCCATTACCCCATTACCCCTATTACCCCCATTACCCCCATTACCCCCATTGCCCCCATTGCCCCCATTACCCCCATTACCCCATTACCCCATTACCCCATTACCCCCATTACCCCCATTGCCCCATTGCCCCCATTGCCCCCATTACCCCATTACCCCCATTACCCCATTACCCCCATTACCCCCATTACCCCATTACCCCCATTACCCCCATTACCCCATTACCCCCATTACCCCCATTACCCCATTACCCCCATTGCCCCCATTACCCCCATTACCCCCATTACCCCCATTACCCCATTACCCCCATTACCCCCATTACCCCATTACCCCCATTACCCCCATTACCCCCATTACCCCATTACCCCCATTACCCCCATTACCCCATTACCCCCATTACCCCCATTACCCCATTACCCCCATTACCCCATTGCCCCCCATAGCCCCTATGGGGTCTCTGCCCCCCAGGTTCCTGCAGACGGCCGAGATGGTGAAGCCTTCGACCCCTTCCCCTGGGCACGAGCCCAGCGCCGGTGCTGAGGAGCCCTCGGAATACTACCCCCATCTGGGTGAGCCCCATAGAGACCCATAGGGACCCATAGAGACACATAGAGACCCATAGGGACACATAGAGACACATAGGAACCCATAGAGACACATAGAGACCCATAGAGATCCATAGAGACCCATAGGGACCCATAGAGACCCATAGAGACACATAGAGACACATAGGGACCCATAGGGACCCATAGAGACCCATAGGGACCCATAGGGACCCATAGGGACACATAGAGACCCATAGAGACACATAGAGACCCATAGAGACACATGGGAACCCATAGAGACCCATAGGAACCCATAGAGACCCATAGGGACCCATAGAGACCCATAGAGCCCCATAGAAACCCCATAGGAACCCCACAGAGACCCATAGAGACCCCATAGAGCCCCATAGAGACCCATAGAGACCCCATAGAGCCCCATAGAGCCCCCATAGAGACCCATAGAGACCCCATAGAGCCCCCATAGAGACCCATAGAGACCCCATAGAGCCCCATAGAGCCCCATAGAGACCCCATAGAGACCCCATAGAGACCCCATAGAGACCCCATAGAGCCCCCATAGAGACCCATAGAGACCCCATAGAGACCCATAGAGACCCCATAGAGACCCCATAGAGACGCATAGAGACCCCATAGAGCCCCATAGAGCCCCATAGAGACCCCATAGAGCCCCATAGAGCCCCATAGAGACCCCATAGAGACCCCATAGAGACGCATAGAGACCCCATAGAGCCCCATAGAGCCCCATAGAGCCCCATAGAGCCCCATAGAGCCCCATAGAGACCCCATAGAGCCCCATAGAGCCCCATAGAGACCCCATAGAGCCCCATAGAGCCCCATAGAGACCCCATAGAGACCCCATAGAGACCCATAGAGACCCATAGAGACCCCATAGAGACCCCATAGAGCCCCATAGACCCCCATAGAGCCCCATAGAGCCCCATAGACCCCCATAGCACCCCATAAGTGCCCCCCCCCCCAGTGTTCGTGCAGACCCGGGCCGGTCCCGGCTCCTTCCGGCCCCGGCGCCTCCGGCAAATGCAGCGGCTCCTGCAACGGGTGATGGCGCACTCGCACCTGAAGTACCGCGGTGAGCAATGGGGGCAATGGGGGGCAATGGGGGGCAATGGAGTCAATGGGGGTCAATGGGGGGCAATGGGGGTCAATGGGAGTCAATCGGGGTCAATGGGGGTCAATGGGAGTCAATCGGGGTCAATGGGGGTCAATGGGAGTCAATCGGGGTCAATGGGAGTCAATGGGAGTCAATGGGAGTCAATCGGGGTCAATGGAGTCAATGGGGGTCAATGGGAGTCAATGGGAGTCAATCGGGGGCAATGGGGGTCAATGGGAGTCAATGGAGGTCAATGGGGGTCAATGGGGATCAATGGGGATCAATGGGAGTCAATGGGAGTCAATCGGGGTCAATGGGGGTCAATGGGAGTCAATCGGGGTCAATGGGAGTCAATGGGAGTCAATGGGGGGCAATGGGGGGCAATGGGAGTCAATGGGATCAATGGGAGTCAATGGGGGGCAATGGGAGTCAATCGGGGTCAATGGGAGTCAATGGGAGTCAATGGAGTCAATGGGAGTCAATGGGAGTCAATGGGAGTCAATGGGGGTCAATGGGAGTCAATCGGGGTCAATGGGGGTCAATGGGAGTCAATCGGGGTCAATGGGAGTCAATGGGAGTCAATGGGAGTCAATCGGGGTCAATGGAGTCAATGGGAGTCAATGGGAGTCAATGGGAGTCAATCGGGGGCAATGGGAGTCAATCGGGGTCAATGGAGTCAATGGGGGTCAATGGGAGTCAATGGGAGTCAATCGGGGGCAATGGGGGTCAATGGGGGGCAATGGGGGTCAATGGAGGTCAATGGGGGTCAATGGGAGTCAATGGGGTTCAATGGGGGTCAATGGGAGTCAATGGGGGTCAATGGGAGTCAATGGAGGTCAATGGGGGTCAATGGGAGTCAATGGAGGTCAATGGGGGTCAATGGGAGTCAATGGGGTTCAATGGGGGTCAATGGGAGTCAATGGGGGTCAATGGGAGTCAATGGAGGTCAATGGGGGTCAATGGGAGTCAATGGGAGTCAATGGGGGGCAATGGGGGGCAATGGGAGTCAATGGGATCAATGGGAGTCAATGGGGGGCAATGGGGGGCAATGGAAGTCAATGGGAGTCAATGGGAGTCAATGGGAGTCAATGGGAGTCAATGGGGGTCAATGGGAGTCAATGGAGGTCAATGGGAGTCAATGGGGGTCAATGGGAGTCAATGGGAGTCAATGGGGGTCAATGGGAGTCAATGGGAGTCAATGGGGGTCAATGGGAGTCAATGGGGGTCAATGGAGTCAATGGGAGTCAATGGGAGTCAATCGGGGTCAATGGGTGTCAATGGGAGTCAATGGGGGTCAATGGAGTCAATGGGATCAATGGGAGTCAATGGGAGTCAATGGGAGTCAATGGGGGTCAATGGGGGTCAATGGGAGTCAATCGGGGTCAATGGGAGTCAATGGGAGTCAATGGGAGTCAATGGGGGTCAATGGGAGTCAATGGGAGTCAATGGGGGTCAATGGGAGTCAATGGGAGTCAATGGGGGGCAATGGGGGTCAATGGGAGTCAATGGGGGGCAATGGAGTCAATGGGAGTGAATGGGTGTCAATGGGGGGAATGGGTGCCATGGGGGTAAAGGGGGGCAATGGGGTCTCTATGGATCCCTATAGGTCCCTATGGGTCTCTATGGGTCTCTATGGGTCTCTATGTGTCCCTATGGGTCTCTATGTGTCTCTATGGGTCCCTATGTGTCTCTATGGGTCCCTATGGGTCCCTATGGGTCCCTATGGGTCTCTATGGGTCCCGCAGGGTCCCTGTGCCCCCGGGAGGTGGTGCCGGGGCTCCCCGAGGGGCCCCCCGAGGCCGACGTGAACCTGTTCCTGCTGCCCCCCATGGAGGGCGATGAGGAGCCCCCCCCCCGCCCTGGTAAGTCCCCATAGAGCCCTATGGGCCCCATAGAGCCCCATAGAGCCCTATGGACCCCATAGAGCCCCATAGACCCCTATGGACCCCCATAGAGCCCCATAGACCCCTATGGACCCCCATAGAGCCCCATAGACCCCTATGAACCCCCATAGACCCCTATGGACCCCTATAGACCCCTATGAGCCCCATAGAGCCCCATAGACCCCTATGGGCCCCATAGACCCCCATAGACCCCTATGGGCCCCATAGACCCCCATAGAGCCCCATGGATCCCTATGGTCCCCATAGACCCCTATGGACCCCCATAGACCCCAATAGACCCCTATGGATCCCTATAGAGCCCTATGGACCCCTATGGTCCCCATAGACCCCCATAGACCCCATAGACCCCTATGAACCCCCATAGAGCCCCATAGACACCCATAGACCCCTATGGTCCCCATAGACCCCCATAGACCCCATAGACCCCTATGAACCCCCATAGAGCCCCATAGACACCCATAGACCCCTATGGTCCCCATAGAGCCCCATAGACCCCTATGGACTCCCATAGACCCCTATGGACCCCATAGACTCCTTATAGACCCCATAGACCCCTATGAACCCCATAGACCCCTATGAACCCCATAACCCCTATGGACCCTTATAGAGCCCCATAGAGCCCTATAAAGCCCTATAGACCACTGTAGATCCCACTGCGTCCCAGTCCCATTCCCCTCCCTTCCCAGTCCATCCCAGTGCCCCCATTGCCCCCCATTGCCCCCCATTGTCCCCCATTGCCCCCATTTTCCCCCCCATTGCCCCCCATTGCCCCCTCATTGTCCCCCATTGCCCCCCTATTGCCCCCCATTGCCCCCATTGCCCCATTGCCCCCATTGTCCCCCATTGCCCCCCATTGCCCCCCATTTTCCCCCCCATTGCCCCCCATTGCCCCCCATCGCCCCCCATTGCCCCCCATTGCTCCCCATTGTCCCCCATCGCCCCCCATTGCCCCCCCATTGTCCCCCATTGCCCCCCATTTTCCCCCCATCACCCCCCATCGCCCCCCATTGCCCCCCATTGCCCCCCATTGCCCCCCATTGCCCCCCCATTCTCCCCCCATTGCCCCCCATTGCTCCCCATTGCCCCCCATCGCCCCCCATTGCCCCCCATCACCCCCATCGCCCCCCATTGCCCCCCATTGTCCCCCATTGCCCCCATTGCCCCCCCATTGTCCCCCATTGCCCCCCATTTTCCCCCCCATTGCCCCCCATTCTTGCCCCCATCACCCCCCATCGCCCCCCATCGCCCCCCATTGCCCCCCATTGCCCCCCATTGCCCCCCATTGCCCCCCCATTCTCCCCCCATTGCCCCCCATTGCTCCCCATTGCCCCCCCATCGCCCCCCATTGCCCCCATTGTCCCCCATTGCCCCCCATTGCCCCCCATTGTCCCCCATTGCCCCCCATTTTCCCCCCCATTGCCCCCCATTCTTGCCCCCATCACCCCCATTGCCCCCCATTGCCCCCCATCACCCCCCATTGCCCCCCATTGTCCCCCATTCTCCCCCCATTGCCCCCCCATTCACCCCCCATTGCCCCCCATTCTCCCCCCCATTGCCCCCCCCATTGCCCCCCATTGCCCCCCATTGCCCCCCATTGCCCCCCATCACCCCCCATCGCCCCCCATCGCCCCCCATTGCCCCATTGCCCCCCCATTCTCCCCCCATTGCCCCCCATTGCCCCCCATTGCCCCCATTGTCCCCCATCACCCCCCATCACCCCCCATCGCCCCCCAGGTTCCTCCCCACTCTTTGGGGCTCTGCCCCCCTTCCGTGGCCACGGATCCTTTGGGATGCTCCTGGCTCGGCTCCGGGGCCGGGTCCTGGCGGCGGCGCGGGCGCAGCTCTCCCACAGCCTCCTCACGGAGAGGAACTGGGAAGCACTGGGAGGGACTGGGAGGGACTGGGAGGGACTGGGGAGGGACTGGGAGGGACTGGGAGGGAATGGGATTGAATGGGATTGAACTGGGAGGGACTGGGAGGGACTGGGATTGAACTGGGAGGGACTGGGAGGGACTGGGATGGACTGGGAGGGACTGGGATTGAACTGGGAGGGACTGGGATTGAACTGGGAGGGACTGGGAGGGACTGGGATTGAATGGGATTGGACTGGGAGGGACTGGGAGGGACTGGGAGGGACTGGGATTGAACTGGGATTGAATGGGATTGAATGGGATTGAACTGGGAGGGACTGGGAGGGAATGGGATTGAATGGGATTGAACTGGGAGGGACTGGGAGGGACTGGGATTGAACTGGGAGGGACTGGGAGGGACTGGGATGGACTGGGAGGGACTGGGATTGAACTGGGAGGGACTGGGATTGAACTGGGAGGGACTGGGAGGGACTGGGATTGAACTGGGAGGGACTGGGATGGACTGGGATTGAACTGGGAGGGACTGGGATTGAATGGGAGGGACTGGGATTGAACTGGGAGGGACTGGGAGGGACTGGGAATGGACTGGGAGGGACTGGGATTGAACTGGGAGGGACTGGGAGGGACTGGGATTGAACTGGGAGGGACTGGGATGGACTGGGATTGAACTGGGAGGGACTGGGGGGACTGGGATTGGACTGGGAGGGACTGGGAGGGACTGGGATTGAACTGGGATTGAATGGGATTGAATGGGATTGAACTGGGAGGGACTGGGAGGGACTGGGATTGAACTGGGATTGAATGGGATTGAATGGGATTGAACTGGGAGGGACTGGGAGGGACTGGGAGGGACTGGGATGGACTGGGATGGGACTGGGAGGGACTGGGAATGGACTGGGAGGGACTGGGATTGAACTGGGAGGGACTGGGAGGGACTGGGATTGGACTGGGAGGGACTGGGATGGACTGGGAGGGACTGGGATTGAACTGGGAGGGACTGGGATTGAACTGGGAGGGACTGGGAGGGACTGGGAGGGACTGGGATTGAACTGGGATGGGACTGGGATTGAACTGGGAGGGACTGGGATTGAACTGGGAGGGACTGGGAGGGACTGGGATTGGACTGGGAGGGACTGGGATGGACTGGGAGGGACTGGGATTGAACTGGGAGGGACTGGGATTGAACTGGGAGGGACTGGGAGGGACTGGGAGGGACTGGGATTGAACTGGGAGGGACTGGGAGGGACTGGGAGGGACTGGGATTGAACTGGGAGGGACTGGGAGGGACTGGGATTGAACTGGGAGGGACTGGGATTGAATGGGAGGGACTGGGATTGAACTGGGAGGGACTGGGAGGGACTGGGAATGGACTGGGAGGGACTGGGATTGAACTGGGAGGGACTGGGAGGGACTGGGATTGAACTGGGAGGGACTGGGATGGACTGGGATTGAACTGGGAGGGACTGGGGGGGACTGGGATTGGACTGGGAGGGACTGGGAGGGACTGGGATTGAACTGGGATTGAATGGGATTGAATGGGATTGAACTGGGAGGGACTGGGAGGGACTGGGATTGAACTGGATTGAATGGGATTGAATGGGATTGAACTGGGAGGGACTGGGAGGGACTGGGAGGGACTGGGATTGAACTGGGAGGGACTGGGAGGGACTGGGATTGGACTGGGAGGGACTGGGATGGACTGGGAGGGACTGGGATTGAACTGGGAGGGACTGGGATTGAACTGGGAGGGACTGGGAGGACTGGGAGGGACTGGGATTGGACTGGGAGGGACTGGGATTGAACTGGGAGGGAACTGGGAGGGACTGGGAGGGACTGGGATTGGACTGGGAGGGACTGGGAATGGACTGGGATTGAACTGGGATTGAATGGGATTGGACCGGGAGGGACTGGGAGGGGAATGGGGGGACTGGGATTGAACTGGGGGGGACTGTAATGGATTGGGAGGGACTGGGATGGGATTGGGATGGACTGAGGGGGGAATGGGAGGAACTGGGATGGACTGGGATTGAACTGGGAGGGACTGGGATGGACTGGGATGGACTGGGATTGAACTGGGAGGGACTGGGATGGACTGGGATTGAACTGGGAGGGACTGGGATTGAATGGGATTGAACTGGGATGGACTGGGGGGGGAATGGGATTGGACTGGGGGGGACTGGGAGGGACTGGGAGGGATTGGGATTGAACTGGGAGGGACTGGGAGGGGAATGGGGGGACTGGGATGGACTGGGATTGAACTGGGGGGGACTGGGATGGGATGGGATGGACTGAGGGGGGAATGGGAGGAACTGGGATGGACTGGGATAAACTGGGATAGAATGGGAGGGACTGGGATGGGGATGGGATGGGGGGGGATTTGGGAGCACTGGGATGGCCTGTAGTGGTCCATACTGGTCCATACTGACCATACTGGTCCATACTGGTCCATACTGGTCCATACTGACCATACTGGTCCATACTGGTTTATACTGGTCCATACTGGTCCATACTGGTCTATACTGGTCCATACTGGTCCATACTGGTCCATACTGGTCCCCAATGA